TGCACAGACGCGATGCTCATATTTATGGAAAATTTAAATTGTTTCGCGGCCCAGAGCGGAGGGCTTCGCGACCCAAATTTGGGCCGCGACCCCGTAGTTGCGGACCCCTGCTCTAGAACACTGGTTCTCAACCAGTGGGCCATGGCCACTGGTCCACAGGAACATTTAAAGGTGGGCCACAGACCTATTAAAAATTGCTAGAGTTGCTGATAAAGTTAGTAAAATTTGATGGTAGTAGCAGCGGATGATGCTGTTTTTTGTTACTCCATCTAATTATTATTAAAGTGAAAGTGTCAATTTTCGCAGAAATTTTTTTATGTTTTTCATGATATTTTTCCCCAGCATGAAAAAGTTAGTGGACCACAGAATTATTGTGCAGCGAAAATGTGCCACGAATGAAAAAAGGTTTACCTGGACATGTCAATAGCAAAAATATTGTTTACAGGGAGGGGCACATTGGCAAGTCTTACAGAGAACGCCACACCCAGTGCGCGGCATGTGTAGACATTTGCGTACGTAATGTTCCGTATACGAATATGGAAACGAATATCAAACGATGAATATTGGAACATTATGTGATAGTGCTGGAGAATTGCTGGAAATTATTTAAACGACGTTGATGATTAAGAGGATTAGTGGTTTCAGCAGAAAGTTCTGTAAAAAAATTAGATAAATTTTCTCAAATTTCGAAGAAGTAATTGGGAAATTTAAGGGTTCTGTTTTTTAGGTAACTCTGTATTTCATTTTTTCTTTTCGAAGTATTTTATTATTTTGGCCTATATATTTAATACAGTATATCGCTTCATACAGAGTCATTTTCATGTTTTAACTCTTCAGGCCACAACGACTTGCCTGCGACCAGTCCACATTCTTCTTTGGTGTCAAACCACATTTGTCATGAATGAACCAGGTGATTGACTATGGGCATCTATACCCACAGTTATATACACTAATACAAATAGGCTACATGTCAACATAATTATTTTGCAGTATACAACCTTCCTCTAGCACACTTTCGGAATCATATCGGCTGATGCAAGCCATTTCATATTGATATCAGACGGGATAGGAAATGGCGTTTCCAAAGTTACTTCATGATTTCTATAGCTTTGTTTACAATCCTCTTCCATGTCCTTGGATATATCTGTACATTTTCTATGTGTACTTTACAGTTGTAAAGTTTTGGGTATTTTATAGAATAGAAATGGCTAAATATAATTCAGAAATAAAATAAATTCACTCCGAAAATTGCGCCTTTTGAAATTGAAGATGTTAAAAAAGTTACAGTCAGGAATTTGTATCACGGACTCAAACGGCCTCAAATATTTTACTATGCTTTGGAATGAATAACCAGACAGGAGAAATGCCCATAAAATTAATTAAGCGAAAACGAGTGAAACGACGTCATGGATATACATTGTCAAACACCGGAAAATCATTAAACATAATGACGGTATGCAACTGAAACGAACGAGATTTATAGAAAAATTCAGTCACGCCGTGGAAAATTTTTGTTAATTCCTCAGGCTAATTAACTTTTAAGCATATATTTTTGCCTATTTCTTTAAACTTTTCCTCCTTCTCCATAAAAAATATCTAAACTAATGAATCACAAGTTAAGTAAAGTTTTATCTCGAAAATTTATGTTTGTCAAACACACTGTTGACAAATTGAAAGTTTTATAAGAGTCGTAAAAATAATTCGTAGCATAAATTGATGAGAGATATCACAAAGTGTGGGGTCAAATTATGGTGTTTCCGTAGTATGTGCACCAAGATGGCGCACAACCTGAACATAGTATGTGTATCAGGTTAGGGTTAAGGTTGTGCGCCATCTTTGTGCACATACTACGGGAGCGCCCAAATTATTATCAAAGTAGTGAAGCGCCTTTTTCGACCTATACTGGTATACCTGAACAACAAGAGGCGATCTAAATGAGGACTTCACCTGAACGAATCATTGAATTGCCGCTGTATGGAGTGTTGGCTTTGCCAATTGAGGTAAAATTTTATTAAGTAAAAGTCGATTGCAGTCACTTCAAAGATCGCAGTATAGACCCTACCCAACATGAGGCAGTAAAAAGGACGGCGTCTCAAAAATGTCGTGTCCCACTCGTCCTAGTTTTCCCACCTGTGCCATGTATCCCATTTGCCACCCCAATTGCCTCACTTGTGTCACGTGTCCCATTTGCCGGCCTAATTGTCCCGCTTGTCCTATTTCCTACCCCACTTGTCGGACGTATCTCACTTGTCCTACAAGCCCGGCTTATCCCACGTGTCCCGCTTGCCCCACTTATCCTACAAACGTGGAACAAATGAGACACGACAAATATCAATTTAATATGTTCTGGAATACCTGTTCGTCAATCTGAAATAATGATAACTATAAATATAGTTTGCAGAAAACTATTTCATCCTGTCTGTCTCCTACAATCCAGATGAGAAATAAATATTATCGGAATATTTTTATACATAGTGATTACATCAGGTTAAATCATGTACAATTCACCTATACGCCAATTCTCATCACCTTGGGAAAAGTATGACATCGTAACCCGGAAAATCTGGGTAATACAACTAGATTCATTACTCACGAATCCACGATTTGTGATATCGTTAACACTAGGCTCTTATTTATTTGTTCTCATATCCACAACCTTTCGGTCATACTGATTTCAAGCACTATAAGCTTCTAAGCAATATATTCAAGTTCATACTTGATCCCTTCTGTAGGACTTCTATTGCACATCATTCCGCTCTTGTTACTATTTCCCTATTCGTCGCCACTTATCCTGTCATCATACTCACGTATTTACCCGATTTTCAAAATTTCGAAATACATAAATTATATCAATTCAAAGCAAAATTAAGACTAATATGATAGCCCTGTAGGTGAAATCAGTACGCGTAGGGTAATATTCTTTAAAACGGCTCCGAGTTATAGGGTATTACTGAAGCCTTGTCCTGTCATTAGGACCCCCAAATAAAAGTCTTCATGCAATAACTTCTGGCATTCTGAACACCTTACAATCTCGCATCACACTAAATATGATGTGAGCATGTAGGCGGCGCACGATGCAATCTCCAAGGACGGTGCGGTATACTTTACGTTGGAAGTAACTTTACTATGTACATAGCTTACAAGCCGAAAAAGAAACCCCAAACTAATTACACAATCAGCACTTCAGAACCCTCTCTCCTACCAAAACGCACTTCACATATATGATATATATATATTATAACATGCGTCCTTCCGTGAATTACTTTCTCTCTTTACTCTCCACCTACCTACGCGAAGAGAAGCTTCAATCAAATATAGAAAATAATGGTACCTTACGAAGACATACATATAACTTGAATCAAAGTTTGGGATCGGACTCTGCTTCCAGCGTCATCTAAGGTCAGCTCGTTTCATTGAAGTGGCTGTAATCGATTTCTGCTGATTCAAACCCCACAAATAATGCCATGAAAACTAAGCCGATTTTTTGTAAATGTTAATTTTTGTTTACCTTTTAAATAGACAAAAATACAGATAGAGAGAGCTGATAGAAACTAAAGAAAGTATATTGTGCACTGTGTAAGAACATCTAAAAACGATTGGTGACTCAAAGACAAATGGGCTCAATAGAGTCCCTGGTGTATCATAGCTAGTAAAAGCAGGAAAAACGGTTTTAATGGATTTATTTGCCACATGTCTCGTGTCTCAGCGTTCAGCTTTTGTTTGATAGAATTCCACTCATCTCTAGTTCCACAGAGAAACAAATTGATCAGATTGAACGAGAATGAAAAACACCGTTTTTCTCTGAAATATGCAGAAGTCTTCGTTTTTATTCTAAAAAAGTATTTATTAATTATTCCATTCTAAAGGAGCAATGTCCGAAGATGGGTACGAATGTACAATGACTAACAATGACACAGTACCGGTAGCCTACGGTGTCTACAAATGCCGTTTCTAATTTGTGCCATTTTAGGGCATTTGTCTCACATATACCAAATGTCTCACTATTCCAACTGTTACCATATAGATTATAGAATATATATTGCTGGAGGGCTTTAACGTTTATTTATTTTAAAAATCTCTGTGGGTTCTGAGGGATTCGTTTTTTTTGTGCGATTTTGTCTCCTGTGACAGATTGGATACCCATACTACTTAGTTTCGGCATTCTTGTCCGTCCAGAATTTGAACATCGTGCTCTTGTTGGACACGTTTAGTGGCCATAACGATCGTTTCAAAATTTTGTTGTTATTATTGTTATTGTTATTTGTCTCCGTCTCCATTTTTGAAAAAATCGCTTTTCTCTTCGAATACTGGACCAATTGCTTTGATATTTTCAGTGGTTAAAGATAAAAAAATTTCTCCAGAAGGCTATTACTTTTTTTTTCGCTATGACGTCATCAAAATTATTGCCACTGGGTGGCGCTACGTGTCCATATATTTGAGCATAGCTCGCTTGTTTGATTTCTTATGGTATTGCTTAGGTGGGTATGTTTTTTCGGTAAGATATGTCGAGGAATCGAGATTCGGAATTGATAATTTAGAAATCGGCTAAGAATCGAATACTTGTAAGTACTCATACTTGGCATCCTTAGTTACACATCAACTTTGAGCGAAGAAAACAAATATTTGAAGTAAAGGTCGTGTGGTTCTTTCATTTTAGTTTACCCGCGCGTTTTGTTCAGCTGAGCGTTAAATAGCGCAATGACTTCGTTCTTCTTTAAAACGAGGATCATTGATGCTATTGTATTACACCGACGTTACAGTCGCCTAGTAACTCTGTGGGATATGCTGAGCAACTCGAGCCTTGCTATAGTTATTTTACTATGGTAGATATTGTAAACAGGAAGTATTGAGCAATACTCATACGTCGGTACTGTAAACGTGAAAAGATACGATTCGAAAGGGCAGATCAGTTCCGAGTAGTAATTAGTCAATTCGGCATTATTGTGTATTGAAATTATAGGCTATACGGCGTAGGCCGTAGAGGATACTGGCAGTAGTAGCAGATTAACTCAATTTTTAAACAAGCTTAAACGGTATCACTTGTTGGTCTCCTGTACAAATTATGATGAGGTTCACAAATTTATGGTAAATGGCATTTACTAATCAAATTTTAGCTACGAAAGTGACTGAATTCGTACTACCTTGTTGTCCTAAACCGAGCAGGTTAGTGCTTGTAAAACTGTAAGTGATCTGAAAAGTGGGTCTAGCAAATGCTTTATACACGAAGGCTAGCAGCGTAAAGTTCCGTGCCGTATCGTCAAACATATTGTTTGTATTAGATTCAGATTCAGGTATTTATTTTCGTCATGCCAAAAAAACAATGCGCGATAAGAAAAAGAAATAAATAATATATATAATGTAACGAAATGACAAACAGATATCGGCTTGTTGCAGTTGACGCGGGGTCGCGAAAAGACTCGGAGAGTCATCTAGTCAGCGACATCTTGCAGCTAAATTAAGCAGGAAATATAGCAAACAGGACACTCAATATTAGACATTAACTTAATTGGAAACGATCATACAGAAATGGAAGGACAAAAAAATAAATAAAACTCAATAATACACATTGGCTTAATTGTACACAATCGTTCAAAAAAGGAAAAAACAAAAGAATTCGAGTAACTACGGGAATCCACAGACACCGTGGAATATCAAACATTTACTCAATTAAATACAATTATTTAATATTTAATACAATTAATTTGCTCTTCTCTTCAGATTCAATTCCTTTCAAGTCGAACCGATATTATACGCAAACAAGGCGCCATTTGAGTAACGGTCGATAACACTTTAGTAATAGCAGTCTTTTTACGACAAAAAACCCATGTGTTTGCTTTACCATAGCCTTAAGTCGTCTATCTGATTGCATGATAATTTGTTACGATACACTGAATACGGGTTAAAGTTTATTCAAAAATTGTAGGTCTAAAAGCCTATAGTTTCCGACCGAGTTGACCCGTTCAAATTAGGGAAATACAGTACAATTTTTTGTTTCAATTTAAATGACATTGCGTTTCTTCTACTTGATTGTATAGGTTAGCAATAGCAGCATGTCGTGGACTATTCCGCATATGACGACAAAAAAGCTGTCGCTGATAATAATCGTTTGTCTGGTGATAACTTTCACAAGGTTTGTTGGATATTGGCAAAGCTCATCGTTCTTCAGTAAATCTAGATATGGGAACACAGGAATACAACCCACTAAATATATACCGACAACCACAAATGTTACCAAGACATCGACAGTCAGACCTATGCTCTCCCCAGCTCAGCAAGACGAGTTGAAAGTTCGACTGAAAAAGGCAACAGATAAGAAGGTTACTTTTATTATCGTTATTGAACACTGAGTTGGCATCTGAATCCTTTGCTTAACTGCTGCTTGTGCTTTTATTATTGGTGGCGGAAATCCTTTTCCATTTAGCAACTTGATAGATAGTTTCAAATTATGCATAAAGTATTTTAGAAGTGTCTCCAATGGAAGTGGAATTGAGGCTTATTATATTTATTGTTTGTCAATTTTTTTTGGTTTGCTGAATTTGAAAAACTGATATGCTAAAATTTGTATTCGTTGTTAATAAGAAGTGGTTTCACAATAATTCAAATGAAATTCGGTGAGCTGAAAGAGTAATAAATGAAAGGATCCCGAAAAATCCAATAAAGCATAGTTTGTTACTCCTACAGCAATCGAGCTAAGGACTTATGACCAATCTCAAACTTATTCAAGTGAACGCTTTATAGATAATACTTGTATGGATTAGCGGCTTCGGAGCAAAAGTCACAGCTACAGTAGACCCTGAGAAATGTGGCAACTGCGAAGTAACTCAAGATCGAGGATTGGTAATGTCAATTTTTTTTTCCATATTGAAATCTATATTTGTGATGGTTTGTGAATCACCAAAAATCCGGTATATTTGATCTTTTATTGCGTCTGTCCGGCATTGACATATCTAGTAGAAACCTTCTTTTATTTTAGAGGGATTATAATATAACATCTTTGAACTATCGGCAAATTTAGTGTCTGCAATTAATTGACAGAAGATTATCTGTGAAAAAGTTTCCACAAAATCTTGAATATTTACGAATCGATTGTGTCAACAAATTTCATCGATGAAAGGTTACTAGAAATTGCCTGATGTCGGGTATTGGTTACTTAGGTAGACCATTTAAAATAGTTTTTATCATTCTGTGCACTGTGCATTGCTGTTAAGTGAGACTGGAACTTACGCTTCAAGATGGCGTAGTCAATTTTAATAATCTTTCGCTGACATTTTGGTTTTACAGTTGAATGACGAGAGAACAGGAGCAATTATTCTCCATTTTGACGCTTTGAGATCGAATAACGTTCCGCCAACCAGGTAGAGTAATCTAATTCGAGATCACAAAAATCTCTCATTTTCCTCTTTTGCATAGACATAGTTTGTATTCAATTCTCCGTCAGTTACACAAATGAAATAAAACTAGTGACTTCTCTGTAAAGCAAGAAAACCCTCGTTTGAAATCAAATAAATAAATAAACAAATCAAAATAAATTATACTTTCCACTAATGAAATATGAATGTGTCCAAAAATACTCTGATATGATGAAGCTACTAATCAATTATACAGAAACAAAACCGTAGACCCAGAACGTGTGAACGCATGTGTACACCGCCCTATACCGCCTCATAATTTAATTATATTTTTTGAAAATGTACTTGTTATAATGAAATTCCGCGAAATTATAACTTTATCATAAATTGCCAGGTATTTCAAAAAAAATTGTACCTGAAAAAAAAATTCGCCCAATAATTTCAGTCGATCCTTTTCGACCGTGGTTGTATTTCTTTCCGGTATTGCATCGCCAGTCAAATATATATTTGTCTAAATAGGAATAAATGTAATTTATGTCGTTTCAGGAACCCAAATCATCTTTATCTATTCTGGGTAATGGAAGCAACGGTCTATGTAAGCAAGTTGTACTCAAAAGTTATTGAGTTTGCTGATCAGTTGATATTCAATGGAACATATACACACAGGTAAGCATAACATGCTTTTATCGTGCCACAACTGTAAAAAAAACTCTTATTTGTATTGTTTCGGCAAAGCGAATCTGTTGCAAACACAATCATTATTACAAATTATCATCACAATAACTTGTTTTGTATATCCCAGAAGAAAAGCTAAGACCTTTCGTATGGTAAGCCCTTTTTGACTCCTTTCTGAAAGTTATTCCTCGCAATCTTTCAATGTAAGACATAGTCATTTAAAAAAAACTTTGTTCTCTAAATAACTAAATTTATCCAAAGATTTTAATTTTCATCCGTTCAGTTTTGCAGAATTCGAAACATTACATATATTGTATTGTTACCTACACAAATGTGCTATCGTACAACATATATAGCACTTGTCCGCGGTTGCTACTTGCCGAGACTATAATCTAACTCATATATATAAACTATAAATAGAACTTGGTGCATCAGTGGACACTTGCAATTCCTCCTTCTAACAGTGAATTATCCACATTTAGTTAACAGTCTAAAGCTTTACTTTTTAAAACAAAAACAAATTAATTTTTTATGCCTGTTTTGTATTATTTTGTGACGTGAAACGTCATGAAACTTTCAGTTGAGATGCTACAACTAATTGCATCTGTTAATATGATCTTTAAGTTTTTGAAACCCATGACTTGTGATATTACAGAAGAGACGCAGATTTTTATTCACCTTATGGTAACGTGGAATCAATGACAAATACTATATTGGAAGGGAATAAAATGACTCCGAAACAATTGCTTCAAATGAAGAGCAAACTGGCAGTTGCAATTGCGTCCAATTGTGATGTAACGCCTGGTGCTAAAACACGAAAATCGATGCTCCAAGAATTAATTTCGTATGGTGTTCTTGAGGGATTTGGACGTTGTTTAGGCGGGGCGAATTTTGCCAACGGTCATCGGCGCGATGCCACTCACCACGAAGAAGTTAGAAAGTACAAATTCTATTTCGCTTTTGAAAACTCTCATCACTGCAAAGATTACATTACAGAAAAATTTTTCGATAATGCCCTTTCCGGATTTGCAGTTCCCGTAGTCTGGGGAGCAAAGAGGGAAGATTATGAGGCAATTGCTCCGACCGGTTCTTTTATCTACGCTGAAGATTTTTCTTCAATGAAAAAGCTTGCTGAATATATTGTATATCTTGATCAAAATGATGACGCATATTTAGAATATTTAAAGTGAGTTGTTATATTTTTTTTCTCTAACAATTGTTTGCGTGCGAATTACAAGACTTGTATAAAACATTTTGGATGTCACTTTGGTATCTGATCTCAGCGCCATAAAACTACTTTGGTACGTGTTCTCACTTGCTTAACGTGATCTCAATCGCATAATTATATTATCATAGAATTCAGTTTCTAGCACTAACTCTGTCATACTAGAATCACTGAGGTCAACACTACCGCTGAAAAGTATTAAGTTTTTACTCAACTTATTCTCCCCGAGGACTAAACAGAAGAAAATTGAAATAGATTCAAAAGTAAAGTTTCCTCATTGCAAATCTGATAAAATGCTGTCCTAAAGCTTATCGACGACTTATGTCTACTCTGATTTATGTAGAGCAATTTAATATTGAATGTTAAAATTGTATTTTTAGGCAAAAATCTTATAGGCCGACCGGCGAACAGAAATTTAATTTGAACCAACACTGCATTTGATACTGTTTAAATTTCAGGTGGACAACAATGAAACCAAGTGAACTGCCTGAATACGGTCGTCAAACTGGATGGTGTCAGATTTGTCGAGCATTACACGGAATTAATGTTGACGATATTTTTAATCCAAATTACGATTCAGAAAAGCCAGAACGGCCTTTATTCACTAATGGGATTGCAAAGCGAACGGTAACGCCTAGTTTAACTGGGTGGTTTGTCGACGGTGAAAACTCTAATTGTTTTCGTGGTTGAAATGACGTTTTAATAACATCAGAAAGGAGCTTTCGATGAAAGATCCTGATATTTGTACTTTTCTGGGCGAAATACGCTATAAATACGCTGCCATCTGTGCGACGAAAATGATTGACACATTCCAAAGAAAACTTGAAAGATGCAATTTCAGTGCTGCATAATAACGTTGTATTATTATTTATTAATATGACTGAAAATCATTGACTGAAAAGTACACTCATTCTAATTCACGTTTACCTAAAGAAATGAAGATGCACATGTTTTTTACTCGTGGTTGTCCATGGTTTAATCATAATTGAATGACGTTAGTTTTAAAATAAATATTGAATGTCATTCAACAAGGTGATTCTGTTGCAGGAACATAAGCATATCAAATTTTCAGGTAGTTTCAAGTGGTGTCGAACCCTTCGAGTTTACAATGTGTCCCACCGTACTAAATAAAGAGTTGATAACTTATATATCTTTATACAAATATATAGTAGAAGCTTACATATATATTTGTTTTATAATGGACCTTTGAAATAAACATCGATTAATAAGTACTTTTTCTGGTTAGCTGACAAATTGTTTTGATAAAAAATTCCATCTATTTTATTACTATAAATCCACTTCACAAGCTCTTATCGCTCAGGTTCTGCATATTGTAGGAGTTTAAGATGGATACTCGAAGTCCGATATTCAGTATGACTTTTGACATTTGTAGCCTATTGAACAAAGAAACGAGTTATCTAACTACATGCGGTCAATTTATATTAACAATACATATAGCTGCCCACGCACGACCTATCTATGATATGTATATTGCTAAGTATGTTTTGACAATATGTCGCAAATAATGAGGTCTTTCCCGCGACTGTAATTGATAAAATGTAATTTTCCCGTCTATGTTTCGGCCCAATACTAGGAAGGCCATTCAAACCACGATGGGGACAATTATTCATCTCCATCCACAACTCCAGTTGTCAAATAATGACACCTAACTGTCAAATTTGCGTCCCAGCAACCCCGATCCAGTATTACTGCGGAAAGCAGTAGACAATACAAACAGTTGATAGCATTTTGTAGATTTTATGGCACTTTGTATAAGCGCATTGTTGGCACTTGGTGGAATTGCGAAAAGATTTATGAGTTTAGACGGTATGTAATTAAACAAGTTCAACTGTCTAGTGACAACTAAGACAGACATTTGGCGAGTGTCTGTTTACCTGTGGTCAATCTTGAGCTAATTAAATATGAAATGGGTATTATGTTTAGAGCAGCAAAAATCCGCTCCACATATAAAATTCCATCTACATGATCCCACGTGCCTTGAATATAATGTTATAATATGAAAGGTAGTATGTATATAAGCAAAGGTATTATGTATTTGTAAAAAGTAATAGGTTAGTTTCCTACACGAGCGCAATACTATGCGTGCCAAATCCCATACGCACATAGGCTGCAACGCATACGCTTATAAGCAAGTATGAACGAACTATAGGGCCTATTCAGGAGCGAGCTTTTTATTATTATTATTAAATGATTACCGTCCTTTTGAAACGCACAATGTGTTGCCGTTAAAATTATTTCATTTATTCTTTGATCTGATGTCGTGCGAATCAAGATCGTGGCCATAACACAAGAGAAAATTTCGTTTGTTTCAATAGTCAGCTGCCTGCCTCATTCTTTCTGTCACGCTCACGCGCGTCGCCGGGCTTGACTCATTCGCGATGCAACGCTGCTGTTAAATGGATCTGTTCAATCGATCAATTCATTCATTAGTCATACGCTTGTATCGTAGATGCGCTACTTGAGTGTACAGCACATCCAATATGTTCTTAGTTTATAAGTAATAAAGCGCAAGAACGTTGTGATTTTCAGGGCACAACGTCGGTGATAAAAAAAGCCTATGTAAAATCGGACTTGAAGATTTAGACAGGCGAGCGCAAAGCATCGTTGACAATGAAGTGTTATAGCCAGCATACAAATTTATTGACATAAGTGTGGTCAGGTGTGTGTAGTGTAGTAATAGGCTTGATTCAAAAGGAACTCTCAGTCAGAATAATCTCGACCTTATACAAAGTTATATAATTCTTTCAGATTAGTTGTGTGGTCATGGGCATAATTCTAACTTGCGGGAAATAGTACCGTACTATACCAAACGAAAGGCTATAAATATACATTTTGCCTTGCCACATGTAGAATGGAATATGTTCTACGAAAGTTGTTCTTAGCGTGGGTTATGTCATGTATTACGATAACTAAACAACGGGCAATTTGATTCAAAGTACGTTCATGGTTCAAATTACTTATTGATTGGTACTAAAATTATAAAATATCATTTTGACGTTCCTGTGTTTACTTACAATAAACGGAAATTTTGGGACCCACCACCTGGAACGTACGCGTGTTATTTGAAACACGGTTTTTATGCTATAAATGCGGCGTGCGATTGATATTAAATTATCGAATAATAATTGCGGTTTATCGCAAACCAGTAAAAGTGGACCTCAACAACAACGCCGCTTCCATTTACATACGATAACCGTAAATTAGGCTTGTTATATGCAGTCATACTTAATTTTCAAATTTATATACGCAGTAATGGAATGGCCTTTCGACACCGCGCGCTTGTTTGTTTGTTGCTTCCTATTTGATCGCGCAGGGTGGTATCATATGTTGCAGCATGCATATACTATATCAGGACTTCCGAAATCCTTGCGGTCGCATTTTCTGTTGGTTGATTGCAGGTTATATTGTCGAATTCTAATGTTTTTATTTCAACTCAAATGCAGGTCCTATCGCTTGTGCATATATAATGGAAAACGAATACAATTCAACTAGTTTGTCCATACGATGTAAAATAGCTGTTATTATAGTAACGATATTCGTGTTATTGGAAATTACCACTGTGAGTCATTGGGAAAATAAAAACTTGAAATACTCCCCGTGGAACCTAAACCACCAGTTTTGGAAGAGTGCTTACATGGGCATAAACCCGATAAATATTTCCGACATTGTTCTGTATAACCAACGAACGGCGGGATTACTTTCTGAAAAAGATAAAGATGAACTGAAAATAAGGTTGGCAAATGCAACAGACAAAAAGGTATGATTGTGAAAAGTTCTTAGCTGGACGTTAGTCAGTATGTAAACGATTTTGTAAAATAACGTTACCTAGTAGCATGGTGGATTTATGAGTGAAGTGAATTTTATTTGTTTCTATGTTACGGCCGTGGGCTTCCAGATAAATATAAACGAGAAAACAATTGGCGATCTCTTCATCTAATCACCAAGCGGTATCCGGTCGAATTTGTCTTGTAATACGCCTGTCCCAATAAATGATATTTGTACAACCATCATGTTTCCCTCTCGACTTCAAAATTCGTTCCGAAAATTCAATGTTTAACAAGGATTACTTACATGGCATATTTGTCGATATGGGATGGTTATGAGTATATTTGAGCTTTCAATAATGGTTAATATGTGTCCCATATTTTCTTTACATGGATTTATTTAGGAAATAAAATGAGGTTTAATTCGTTATCGAGCGCTTTTTCATTCACGTCGAACCAACGTCGTTCCTCAGTCAAATAAAATGTTGCGACACTGAGAATGTTTATTGAACAAATAATTATTACTATTCTGTGGTAAGATTCGTTAAATCGGTCTATGGGGAAATCTGTGTATATAGCAAACCATAATTCCCATGAGGACGTTATAACTTCGTCTTAAAGTCAGGTTCATAGATAATCGAAGTTATGAACTTTTTCTTGGCGCAAATGATATATCTAAAAAATTTCATTAACAAATATTTTCACGAATATGAACAACATTACATTCGAGAAGCTTTTTGCTGGACACATGGATTGTTATAATCTAAAACTTCCTGACAATGGTGAAATAGGTAAATTTAATCTCTTTAGCATCGTTGTATAATTTAAGGGGGGGGGGGGGTTCGCACTATTTCTTTAAAACAACTCGTTAGAAATATTTTAAATGAAACTGAACATTTTGTTTTCATTTTGATTCAGGTTATTTTAGTATGGATCCCTGGTTTTGGGGTGAAGGGTGCAGTCAGTATCGATGCGGTGAAATGCGGAAATTGCGAAGTGACTTACGATAGAGATAAGGTAAGATAAGTTGTTTTCTACTTTTATTGTTATTGTTGACACAATCGTCAGTAACCCAGTTCTCTTCACGAGAGATAAACAGAAAAGTTGAACGCCTAACCGTCCTTGAAACAGAATGCTTTGGTTTATTACGTTACAGTCCTAAAGCATTTTCGCTTAAAATTTCTCGGTGTTGCGAAAAATTGTCCACAAATCAAAGTATTTTATTTCATCTGTTTGATCGATTTTTTTTGGAAGAGACGCAATATTTCCAGTATTCCAGAGTTATTTATTCCAAGCAAACTGATTCGTAAACTGTATGTTAGCTCTCAGGATATGACAAACGTTCATCTTCGTATTCAGTGTGGTTTAGTGCGACAAGAATTCACATTGGTTGAATGATATTCAATAATTATTTTAAAATTAATGTTATTCAATTATGCTTGAACGTTTGGTAATATATCGGGATTGGTAACTGACTTCGAAATTGACCTTTTTAACGCCAGCAGTCATGTTCCCAATTATTTAATGGGTTCACCAAGTCTGGTAGCGATCGTATTCTAATATGGGCAATTTAGTTTTTAATTGACTAAATATATACCAGAAAGGCATTTCTACCTCGATAGCCTAATCCATCACAAAACATAAATAATTGAAAAAGCCGCATGATCGCTCACCACGGATTTGAATGGATCTTGAACTGAAATTGAATTAAATAATAGCCTCGAACCAAACGGTGAACCATTGTTCGGTAGTCGAGAAACTTTTGAGTTCCTTTTTTCTGCTTTCATCACATTTAATATTGATACATTATTTTAGCTTAATGACGAAAGCACTGCCGCAGTTATCATGCATTTCGACGCAATAAGACCTGGAAATGTTCCTACGACAAGGTATGTGGCCCTTTTATTTTTTCATTCCAATCAAAATTCTGAAATTCAAATTTCAGTATTCCACGGAACAATTGTAATATATTACTATAAATGACAAAGGAGGCGAATTTTCTATATAACATTTGTGTGAGAACTTGTCTGAAACGCCTGCATTTTTGTTGCAAGTCTGTCCTTGGCCTATGATTGAAATAGTTCATACTGAATATTGTCTTTACATTACAAGTGGCATCAGTGCTATCGCGCTCACAGACAGTTCTACTAGTAAGACAGACATTTATTCATTTTAGAAATCCGAATCATCTTTATATATTTTGGGATATGGAATCGACTGCGACACTTAAAGTAGTTCGAGGAGTATCTCTTCAATTCGAAGACTCTATTCAATTTAACGCTTCATGGACACACAGGTAAAATACTCAATTTTGGTCATCGATATCATTGTTTTGTGCATTTAGTATTATTTCACTTTCTGTATGTTCCAAAATAGCTGCGAAGCATTCTAATTTCAATGTTTTAACGTGTTTCACACTCTCACTCCGAACAGTTTTTCGCCATATTTTCTGTTGGTAGTCAACTGGCTATACTGTAGAAATTTGCCTTATTCTGACAAGAACAACTACTATTCTCCGTAGGTTTGAATTTTGAATGACAATGAAACTATGTATGATTATATCCTACAGGTAATTCTGTTTTTGTCAGAAAATTCATTAGAACGATACTACTCATTCCGTTTGATCATAATGTCTCATAATATGTATATATTCTTTCTACTCAAAAATTTCAGACGAGATTCAAGTTTCCATGCACCGTATGGAAATTATCACACGTTGACTCAAATTTTGGAAAGCAATAAACTTACACCTGAAGAGTTACTCAAAAAGAAAACGAAAACCGCCGTCGCCATTGTATCAAATTGTGCCATTACTCCGGGTGCTAAGACACGAATTAGATTATTACAAGAACTTGAGAAAATGGGATTTAATTTAGAAGGATATGGAGGTTGTTTTGGAAATAAAAATTTTCCCAACCACGGTGATAAAAATTATCACGATGCGGTTCAAAAATACAAGTTTTATTTTGCCTTTGAAAATTCTTATCACTGTAAAGACTACATCACTGAAAAATTTTTCAACAACGCCCTAATGTCTAATGCTGTTCCAGTTGTCTGGGGACCCAAGAGAAAAGATTATGAAGCTATTGCTCCCCCCGGTTCTTTCATTCATGTGGACGATTTTTCATCTTTGAAAGAACTTGCGAATTATATTAAATATCTTGACCGAAATGATACCGCATATTTAGAATATTTGAGGTGAGTGTTTATTTTATCAAGATATTTTTGAATCCTAATATACATGATAAAACACTCCAACGCTTCAATTTGTTAATATCTAATTGTGAGCTACGGCGTTTCATAACATAGTTTAGTTTCTATTTGCCATAATCCTAACTGATGCTTTCGGTCTGTATTTTAAAATAGGCCAAATATTTGGTGACATCAATATTTTCCCAATCTTGCTTTTTTGTGTGATCCAATTGCAATTACGCATTTTCACCCACTATCCTGTTTGCAAGAACCACTTTTGCTATGAGCATCTTTGTCAAGCATGATTTGGTGATAAAACGAGCATTTGTATGTGTCCAACAAAGCATGTAAATGATAAGTTTACTTTCAGATGGCTGACCTTGAAACCAAGTGATATGCCACGATACGGACTTGAAGGAGGATGGTGCCACATTTGTCGAGCATTGCACGGGATAAATGTCGACGATATATATCATCCAAAATATGATCCGGCCAACCCTGAAAGGCCTTTGTTTACAAAAGGATTAGCACCGCGAACGATAAAACCAAGTCTCAGCGGATGGTTCTATGGAGAAGAAAATCCAGAATGTTTCAATACGTAAATGAAATGAGTGATTGAAAATGGATTGTTCGTCATGTCAATTGCTATACGCTTACCTTTGTTACATGAGAGCAACCCACACCCTGGTACACTATTTATTCAAGTGTCTACCATCCAGCCGTTAGACGAGTATTCTTAACATCAACATGCTAAACAAAACTAGTGATTGATTTTCACTCAAGAAAATATATATGAAGCTGTACTCGTCAATTCATCCACTGTGTTATTCTTGCATGGTGCCCACGTTATTATGGGCACAAAGATCACTCGAGGCGTTAACAAAAATAATATATCTGGGCTACAGTGAAACTGCCATTTTATGTAGGTATTCTTCTTGTGGCGTGAATCACTCCTTTCCTAAATATTTAAACTATCTTTTTGCAGTTGTTTTAGACTAAGTAGAAAATATATATTTAAATTTTCTGCGATTGTTTGATTCTGTAAAATGTGAATCAGCAATCTATTATTTCCAGAAATTGAACAATGAAACCTAGATTGTCCTTGGGCGAGATATTCGACGCTGTATTTTATTTCTTCTGCTGTGTCGATGACTGAAGCTTCCTGTACCAAAAGTTAGTAAATGTAATTCAATGTAATTTTGATGGCCTCCCGAGCGAAAGACCTTGAAGACCTTGTCATCGATTGCACTGATGGTAGCTACGATCATCAGATTAGGGATTATTTTGTTGATTTTTATGAACGATACACAAAATTCCTAACGGTAAAACGATTCCTATTTATTCTGGAGATAGTTATTTTGTAACTTGGTCATGTTCTGCTAAACTGTGTAGCGACAAAGAAGTTCGCCAGTTTTACAAGTTCTCTGCGATTAAAATACGAGTGTCGCTCTGGCACCGAAAACCTATAGCAAACCGGCTCCTACATATCCGCATTTACGCTTATCTAATATTTGGCCCTTCAAAATTTACCAGGTAATCTATATTTCAATAGCCTGCTTCAACTGCACGCGTTCCTCGATGTATTAGCCATGTTCCACTGAGAGAAGGTTGGATATGGCCATTCATGCTAGGAAAGGTCCACTTCATATGCGGATAAAACTAAACGTTTCTGTTCATGTGCTGATTTTCATGACTGAATTTGAAGCCATTCTAGGTGTCGTCGTCCATCAGCAGTGATTTTACAACTTGCTTTCTTCTATTTCTGTTCGTACATTTATCGCAGTCGACTTGTGTAAATAAAATTCGGCAAGCTCATAATTCGATGTCTGAATACACAACTGGATTTAGTGCAATGTTGATTGGAAGAAACACGATGGCTGCAAGGACTTGCGTAGTATTGGGTCATTACTAGAGATGTACCGATACCACTTTTGTCGCCGATACCGATACCAGCTAAAAAAGCCGATACCGATGCCGATACTACAGAAAGGCCGATATTACCGATATTCCGATACCGATACTATGTAAATATTACTTAATTAGGTGTGCTGTGTAGGGCAGACGGGTTAAAACAATGGTCTTTGAGCGTTGTTCATAGTACACATTATTTCAGATCGAAAAAAAAAATCACATAATATGAAATTAATGCTTGGTGTTTGCTTTAACTGATTAAGATACACTGTACAGTAACGCTAGTAATCTCGGTGTTCAATTAGAAAACTCATAAGCCGGGATGTTCAATTTGAATTTAATGTTAATATCGCGACCTTCGAATATCGTTATTCGTGTTTAAAAAAATATCGAATATCACCCACACATTCTAGAGCCGCCGTCCTACGTTCAAATTAAAAGCATTTTTCAAATATTTTATTTCGTGGCTAATCGTAATCGTCGACGCAATAAGTCAAAGCCAACATGAAAGAATATCAATCAGCACCGACCAAAAGAAGGCCTACATATAACCGTCGAGGATGTTTTTTTACTTTACTATTTTATATTATTATACAATTGCCATCATATATTTTGAGACAGTCTAGGCCCTCTGGGGCTAGGCGGTCATGTCAATATATCTATAAAGAAATTGTGTAGTTAAACAAAATTAATATCTGCGTAGAGGGATAATTGTGTCGGAATTTAGTTTATCGATGTCGTCGGACTAAATGACACTCGTTCTTGACGACAAACAGTCAGAATTTATACCCGTGCCAAAAGTCCATGTGCCGTTAATAAGGACCCCAATTCCACTGTATGATTTAAAACTGGGCGCCTAATTGCTTTTTGTTATGTGCCGTGTTGATATATTTCTTTATAATTACTATGTAATATAAAGCATGTCAATATAAAAATTTGACAGCGAAAATAGCTAAAAATACGTGAATCCTATTCTCTCGCGGGGGTAGGGACATGTATGGCTCATAGATCACGATCTCTTCAGACAAAAAATAAATTAAAAAGTAGTATTCCAACTTATCTTTTAATACCTTCTGGACCATATCAAAAAGGTAAATATATCGGAAATATCGGCCTTAATCTAACCGATGCCGATACCGAAAAAATGGCCGATATTGCCGATACCGATACATCGGTACATCTCTAGTCATTACTTCCTCAAGCAATTTAGGAAAGCTGGTTTGAGATGGGGGAAAAAATATTTCTCCCGCCGATTTTTTGAAAGAGTAGTAATAAAGACCAAATGGGCATTTAATTAAATTTAAATCAAGCAAATGTTACGTTTATATGAAAGTCTATTTTTGAGGCAATTGTACACCTAATTTACCTAAACTTTTTTAAATCTTGAAATAATCGCGAAGAAAATATTTGGTTTATTCCGATTTAATATCTTGCTATGACTGAAAATCATTCACTGAAAATTTTTCTGTGGGGAGCAAAACAAAAACTTAACAAAACAAGGCAGATTTTTTAATCCAAAGATTGTAGAACACAAAAGGTTTCCTTAACTAATTTGCGACTCAATTCACCATTTCAGTGAGAGAGATAACTAATATATATATTGTTATGCCATGATCATTATATGATTGATACGTTAACTAAATATATATCTAACCAGACGTGGTCAAGAGCGAATAATTCACTTTTTCGAACACACTCTAAATTATCATTTTCGAATACGAAATATTGAATATATCCCAAAATGAAATAAGTGTTACTTACCTCCAACCTGGCTATTAAAATTCAACAGCTTTTTTAAATATGTTCATTTTCGGTTGAATACTTCACATAAAACCTCTTTAAAAACTACTAGGAGTATGAAGAGAATGATTTGCAGTAGTATAAAAGATTCAACCTGAATGAATGTGTTTCAATTGCAGGCAAGACCCAAGTTAGTAAAATCGTCATTAAAACAAAAATCACCATAAATTTTGTTTTAGTAGCACCCCGACGAATAAAGACGATATTTTAGACAATGTAAATCGCCAAAATTCCGCGTGTCCACGGCACTTTTTAAAACTTTGAAATATATTTAATAATCACTGCAGTTGAAACGAGTCAATTGTGCTCGCGGCGTACATTCTTATCTATTCTTGAATTACCGTTGAGCCGCGATGGATTTAAACCTAACTAATGTTTACCGTGCTTTCCCGTTTACTTATAAATAACACGTTTTCATTCGAAATAACTGCGAAACATAGCATTTAATCATTTAAATTTTAAAGCGTGTACGAGAGATTTCTTGCTATGGACTAGGTCGAAAAAAAAAATTCGCGCTACCCACTAGGTCTTATTTGAGGGGAGCGCTTATATTTAAATCATTTTTAAAATTCAGGCTATGTCCTATTTTCGGGAAAACAATCAATTTATTGGTGTATTAAAATAAATAGTATTTCTTGGGATTCTATTGAGGATTTCGGTATTGACAATAACGAATTCAAAAATTCAATCAGAAATTAAATATAATCGGGCAGTTTTCCATACATTTTATGTCCCGAGATTGCCGTGGTATTTTAGATTAATATTGCTTTCATGTTTTCGTAAGTTGACCCAACCTTAAGTTACGTTGAACAAATTTGAATGAATCTTTCTAAGCATTTTGAATGCTGGTATGAGTCATGGATAGAATATTTTGCGCAACAAAAAATCCTCCTCTGAAAAGGTCGATTATTTTAATTATTGTTATCAAAATTATTTGCCAAAAAGCGCGAAGAAGAGGCCTCAAAAACGAGAAACTTGGTGTTCGTTTATTCAATATATATCGTTTGTTAAGAATCCGTTATTTATTCAAACTCTTTTTGTCCTTTCATGACATAAGTCCACAAAAAAATATTATGACGTAACAAATAAGTGAGCTTTCGATAAATTTTGTCAAGAGCGCAGCATTCATTTGGCTACATTCTTACGTAATTTAGTTCGTCTGTGCCGCCCTTTTTCTTCATTTCTGCTTGATTTATGAAGTGTTTACAACTCATGTTGGTCACAGTTACTTGGTAACTTATTGTTACAAGTTGACTTCGAAATAAATATAAGCGATTAGGGAAGGGAATACAAAAGAGAAGTGCAGAAAACAACCTATTCCGTGATTGGGATGCCATTGTCGAAGATTTTTTGTGTGCTAATAACTTTGCAACCGCATTACTCTCCATGTTTTCATCTACATATTATGCTTTTGAATCTCTGTTCTCAGTTATGAACTTTATTAGGTCTCGTACCAGGAGTAGCATGAAAGATGAAACCAGTAGTTCGTGTAATTCTTCGAAAGTTACAAAATATAAACCCAATGTAAAATATCTATTAGCGGTAATGCAGCAGCAGAAGTATCACTGACATAGAATAAGAAAAGTAATCAAATTTATTTACGGACTGATATTTTCCCGAAAAGTGAATCTGTCTGTACATGTTTAAAAGGTTTATTATTGTGTATTTTTGCTTTGAAGGTAGCAAATCGTGGTTTTTAATATTGGGCGACACGCAGGAGAATTTTGTCGTTAAATTTAGCCGATTTTGGCACGCGAGCCGAAAAAGGTTGTCCACCCCTGTGCTAGGTATTACGTAAAAATGCATTAATAATGAGAGCGATTTTGCGTTCATGCTTGACTCACTATAATCCACGTAACTTGCCTTTTAATGGTTGACGTTAAATGTTTCCATTGGTTCAGTACTCACTGATATAACCTTGAGCTCTTTTGTACATGCTTTTTACATATTACATAAAATAGCACGCTTTTGCTTACCTATATCGCTGATATAAATTTTCTATCATACTACATTACGTTATTACAAACCCACAAAACAAAATAATATTTTCATCGTCCAAAATATTGCCAGCGTAAAATGTCTGAAATATTGTACAATCGTGTCAAAATATTGTAAGTTGAACGTAGAATCGAAAAGTATATACAATGTATATTATTGAACATCATGCTGGGAATGTTTGCTATGGATTTTAATGTTATTTAACCCCTTTGTAATATTAGAATGTTGAATTCAATAAAAAGAGGTTATTTTGGCCTATTTCTATAATGGTGATTCATCGCAACAAGCCCTTTGCCTGCATGCAGTGCCTCGGTGTACCGAGCGATCAATAACGTGTTTCCGGCCTCTTTACGACAAATGAGAAAATAGTGTTTTTCATGTTTTTCTTTGTTGCATTGCTTATTCGGATTACTGCATAACTTGTATTAAGATATAAGTGTATATTTGAATATATCTGTATTTGGATCATTTCAATTCGATCGTATAACTCGGCAATATACGAACATTTGTCACTGCAATATATTGTGTGCTCATTTAACCTCTGAAGAAGTCAAGTTGGGGTTTACTCCGCTAAGGTACGTATGTTATGAATATAGATAAAAGATGATATGAACAATTTTGTCATGGTTGGATCCATCGACCACGAACGTATTTATTTTTGAGGTGGATTATCTTTTCCTCGTATGGTAAATAATGGTACTTCCACGTATGCAATAATTGTATAGCTAAAACAGGATGAGAAAAATTACCTCATGGAAGTATCCATCGATCAAAGCATGTTTGAATGTGATAGTTATTTCTAGTGGTAGACTAACTTTTCCTTGTATTACTCATACTTAATTACTTACTTTCTTTTATACTACATTTAAACTGTATATTGTAACAACTATTCATGATCTACGTTCTAAAGCAATACGTGGTGGCCAGATAAAAAGACAAGGTTGTATTCGTATGACATGCGGTGCGGTAAATATAATACAGGAACGATTTCCTAAAGTAATCAGCGCGTCATAAAAGGGCAAATTTTGTCGCTTGATATGATACCTTTCAGGAGGATGTGATGGAAGGCATACTGCTAGAATTTGACTGTGTTGCAATTTGGCAGTAACTGCAATAATGGTAGCGAAAACCTTTTCATGTTGTTTCCTTCTATTCCTGTCACCTGCAAGTAAGCAACGGTTGTATTTATTGTATGTATTTATTATAGTAGTTTCTCCGCGGTATAAATATAGTCTAGTAAGTATTCAAAAGTTACAAGAATTATTTTATTGTTGAAGTACAGTTGTATAAGTAACGGTTGTTGGCCAAGTAAAGAATGGTTTAAAACACATAAAAAAAAGTCTTGTTTTTATATGTTTATGTATATATGAAATAAATACGATAAACTTGACCCCAAAGTCAGCTATATGAATTGAAATATATAGTTCCATCAAACGACATGATAATTTTTAAACCACGGAAATGCTTTTGATATTGAGCATCACATATTTTGAGTATTACCATCATATTTTGTTAATAGTTGAAATATATTGGGGGACTTGATGCTAAATAATTGCCATTTACTGATTTTGTGTAAGAAGACACTTTTAAACGTCTTGGCTCGTTTGGAACATTCCTTTTTAAAACCTTACAGATATGAAATTGTTTTGCTAACAGTCACATTGTCGACAGCGACTGACACTTGTGAGTCTGTAGGAGAAATCTGTAGACAGTATGAATTCTCTACGGTGAGGAATTTTTCATTGCCCAGTACTGTCAAACATTATTTGTATATAAAAATTGTTAAAAGTTAAAACTACCTTTAATGGAAACTGAAAAAAAACGCGAACGCCAAGATTTTTTGGTGTAAAATTGTTGTTTTTAGGTTCTATTTTATTTACCTGCAGTAATAAGTTGGACTCAAAGTACATTTTATCAACTCGGTGCTGGATCCTTAGTCAATATAGTTGATATAAATAGTTTGACTTCATCGTGAAATTACTGATTTTGTTATCTTGAATCATAATTTCTTTGGATTCTATACTTATCTTTATTATCGAATAATATGCTGAAATGAGAACAACTTACAGTCTTTATTTTTTATCATTTCAGATTGAGGAACTTAGGGGTAAGAAAGCCTTGAATTAAACGTTATTAGATCAGTTCAGAAATGGTTAATATATTCACAAAACGACATCAATAGCAAATACTTTTCCGGACAATTTATAATATTGATAAATCATCGCACTGAAGACTCTGATAATAGAAAATGTTTTTAAAATGTTAGAAATAGTAATTTATTTCAATTTGGTAAAACAATAATTTTAATTTATTATTTATAAGAAACTCAGAAATTTATGCATATGTTTTACTACTTTTTCTAACTTCTCTAGAAAAACTTGAAAATGACGAAGAGTTGTTTAAATATGTTAGTAAACAACTTGAAAATAACATGGAAGTTAACATCAATTCTGCACTGACAACTCCAAGTATATCGCGTTTTTTAATATTCGTTTTTTCTGGTCATAGTGACATCACACAAATCTCTCTGTAGAAGTGTAGAACTCATTTTAATGAAATTCAACTTCTAATAATGCATGGAAGTGCCATTTTATGCGCAAACGTTTCTTTATAAGAGGTAGTGTTTGGTACTCAGCTTGTTTTGAGTCCTAATGCAAAATCCTTTATTATACTTTTGTATTTTACTATCTGTATTTTCTTTCAAAAGCGATTGCTTCCTGCTTATATATCAAGTACTTATATCAATCTCACTTTCCAATAAACTGCTTGTAACCAACATCATATGCGTATAATAGAAGTTCGATAACCTAACGTTCGATAATTTATTTGCAGCAACCCTTTTAACGCAAAATGGCTTCTACAAGGAATGTAACGGTCTTTGGTATAAGTATTTTAAGAAACCCAAAACTTATAAAAGAGCGGATGACAAATGCCGAAAATACAATGGCCAACTCATCTCGACTGGATATCGCGATTTCGATATTCGGAGGTGATGTGATGAAATGCAATATTTAATTCTGCAACTGCATTCGCAATATTTTTTGTTTTCATTAATCCGGACAATATTATGCATCTTCATCGCATTTTTGAATCTGATTTTATCTTATCATCCTCGGCACTATGGGCAGTCGAGATTCAATCACACACTCACATACTACGGTTTATCAGAAGGGTAGTGTAAACGAATTATGCAAAGAATGTTTATCTGTCATGGAATTATTTTGACACGATGGCAAGGCCAACAGTGCATGTAATTTTCTTGAGCGTGTGTGCTTTATTGTTTAATTTTCATAATATTCATACTTAGGTCTCTACTTGGACTTATTCATGGCGGAAATACAACATTAGAATCAGAATTCTGGATCGGACTACGTAGAAGCAATACAAACACTAGTTTGTGGATTTGGAATGACGGAATTCAAACAACAAATACATCTGATATGTGGATGGATAAGGAACCAAACAATAGTAATAACCATGAATTTTGCGGGATGAATAAACCCTCAACATCAGGAAATAAAACAGTGAACGACGTAAGCTGCGACAAAAAATTTGCTTATTTTTGCGAAGTAGAAATAAAGTAGAGTTATATGAAACTGCTAAAAACGTATACTTGAACATTCGTCTATATGACAGAAAACGAGATATTTTTTAATTTCATTTTTCTTTTCTTTTTTAGCAAATCTTATATAGGGGAAAGTGGGGAAGGTTGGGACACTTTTTTTCTTTTGCATATTTTGAGCCTTTAATTCTGCATATTCCCCTAAGTTGGCGGGACTAATGCATAGAGGGGTAAACGTAGTTTACATTCAGTGAATAAGAAATTTTCTTGCGACACACATCTTACTACCAAAATGCTTTGAAAAACGTCTGTCAAGTGTCCCACTGTACCCCACTTGTGGGGCACATTCGGACAGACCCTGGGGCCCCATGGGTCAGTCCGTCAAAATTCAACGAAGTATGCCCTTAAAAATAAGCAATTAATCAGCATAATCGTCTAAAGAACAGGGAGACTTCAAATTTGAAGCTTTAATATTTTAAAATCAATGTTCAACTGAAATAGTTCAGATATCAGACAAAAAGTTTCGCAAACAAATTTGAATATTTCTTCCCTCGAATCTAAATCTGGAAATATTATTGATTCTCGAATATATTCCATATTGGACCATGGGTCAAAAGAAACCATAATATTACACTTAATATACCGCATATATAGGTCTCTAAGCACTTATTGTATCAAACAATGTCGAATTGTGCACTGTAGGGCAAGTCCCACTGCGCCCCGGTCCATTGTTCCTCATAGGCAACAAATATTTTCAGACTATCCCACAGCGAAATCTGGAAGGCACATCCACTCGCCAACGTTATGAATATTCTACAGTGGACTAAAGCTGAAAAATATCAGACGGTGGTTTGTCATGTTGGAAAGTCCAATGTAGAAAAAAGAAAAAACTGGAACGGTGAAATTTTAGTTTCAACCTTCCAAAACCAATTTCACTTCATAGCTTGCGCCGCACTACCCTTCCGTTGTCCGTTCGCGGGGACGTTGTAACTCACCAAAGGGCGGATTGAAACATCGAACCGCGGACAGGATTGCGGATATAGTATCAGTGTGAGAGCTGATTTTCCACTGTGCCCCATGTCCCAACGTGCCCCACTTTCCCCTATATTATATAGTGCAATTCTTATATATAGCAACTTTCTTTTCATTTCATCATTTCACTCAAATTTTGTTGACATTGCGGTTGCCGCATTCGTGCCCACGTATTTGAATAATAGTTGTTTTTTGTCTTCTGTATTAGCTACTAATCGAGTTTCACTTTTTTAACATTGTTTATAGTATGACTTAATAAAACAATGTGTTAATATTGATGTCACAAATGAACTAACATTCACATTTGGCATCCAAATTCCATCGAATTTTTTGTTATGCTCTAGCACAGAGGTTCCCAATCCAGGTTACATATGTACTTTTTTTTTCAATTTTACGCGTGACAACGATGGGCCACCATACATGTGCAACTCTCGATGACAATATGGTCAATGAAGACAGTCAGGGTGACTTTAAATGTGGGCCTATGTAGTAAAAACGGAAACTGTAAAGTTACAGAATCACAGCTAAAGGATCGTGTCTTTGGAAGTGTCCCGCTTTGAAGTCAAAAAAATATGGTAACCCTACCTACAAGTAAAGCTAAATTTGCCGCTTTCCAACAAAAGTCTGGCGTTTTTCTTGGTAAATCGTAATACCTAATTTTATTCCATGATATTTTTGAATATTCAATTCCGAAATTATTGATAAATCTTTGATTTAGAACTACCTTTTTTGATTCCATATTAGAAGCTATTAATCTTAAATAAAGAAATTTAGTTTTGGATTTTAAATTTCAATTATTTTCAGAAAATAGATCATAAGTTTGGTTGATTTGACAGTTTGATTGATGGGGCCATGTTTGAATATTAGGTATGATATCTCTTTTAAATATTTCTACTCTGTTCTGAAATCTATGTATGTTACTGGATGTATTGTTGCCTATTCGCAAAGCCAGTTGCGAATTTTCCACATAAAATAAATCTCCAAGTGTTATAATCCCATTTCTGATCTAATTTTTATATTCAAATGGGTAAGACAAACTTCCAAGAATAGTATTGTACCAGATATATTCTTTACAAATATCATGAAAATTGTATGGTAGAATAGTTCTTACAAAATTAAGTTGTGTATTATCATTTCCTTATAAAATTGAGGTATTTCGTTTGATCCATACATGAAATGATAAACGTAATATCTTTGCATCACTGAAATTAATCAAACATTGTCAACAATCTAGATTAACCGATGATCATGTGACCTCGTTAATTAGAGTTGGTACTGTAAAATCATTTCAGCCTGATATTAGTAAGCTGGTGGCACAAAAGAGATGCCAAACGTCAGACCATATGTAATGAAAAACATTGAGTTTATTCGGTAGTATTTTAGGTCTATATATTTAGATAAGGTCATTTTTAGTGCATGTATTATTCTTTCCTTATCAAAATTTCATTCAAAAATGTTTTGGATAGTTATATATAAAATTTATGATTTTTTGTAATAAATACAGTAAATTGCAATAATAGTGAAATGCAAAAATTAATATGTAAATAGCATTTGAAATTTAAGAAAATAACAAAACTTCATTCAGCTGTATATTTTCATTACAATATATGTCACAAACTACACCTATCTTTCAAGTATACATTATCAAAAACTGTTTACGGCCCTTAACACAAATACCAACTGCAATGCGGCCTTCGAAACCCCACGAGTTTGACACCCATGGACTAGCATAAAATTAGCTATCAGTGGGCCTTTGAATAGAAATGATGGATTTGAGCATGTGAACAAGTTTGTAAACGCCAACTACCCATAACACTCTCAAAATCAGAGTTGAAAATTTTTGCAATAATAAAGTATATATATATATATATAGGGCAAATCTTTCAGGGGTCAAGTGTCGGAAACGTCCATTGTGTTTGATTATATTCCCAACACAACAACCTAATCCAGTGGTTCCCAACCCAATCTTTTTCGTTGAATCCCTCTCTTGGTCTACTTTGTAACTCAATATTTCTCCATCACTATGTCTAAAAGTACTATATTCAGTCAATTTGAAATGAGCGAGAGAGAGAGAATTTATTTTTTCGTTTTAGCTGGTGTTATGCGCCAGATGAAACTCCCGCTCTTGTACAGTTTTAGTAGTTTATAATGTGTTCAAATAAGTATTATAATATTAGTGAAGAAAAATATAGGTACCACTACAGCAAATACAAAAACCCTCTCCAAGAGCGAAAAAATTCCTCCCTGTTGAGGAATTCCTCCCCGTTCGGAAACGTTGGTTTGAGCGAAGGAGTTTTTATGTGAAAAAAACTTCTGATGCAAAACGAGTTGCAACTCTAACTTGGACCCTGTATCCGGAACAAAAGTGTGTTCTCGTTAACTGTACACCCTTCCGATACGGTGACTACCGTCAGTAGATGTTAAATGGTCGAAAAACTCCAGAATGAGGTTACAATATCTTTGCATCCATGTATATGTGCACCCGTAAGCTGAACCCGAGACATTTGTGCTCACGGAATTTGCAACCACAGATTTTAGCACACGCATACAGATTGCACTCAGGGGGATCTCTACCCATGGATATATGAGCCCATGGCCCATTTTCAGCTGTAAGTAAAGTAAAAAATAATTGAGTGCTATTTTCCACCGAGTTGGGGGCATCCTGATGAATTGCCAACGGCGCCAATCAACTTGTCCCATGTAAAACGGCCCTATGGATGCCATTTATTGGCAAAACTAAACAATGGAATCATACGGTAGGCCACCGTGACAAATTGTATACCCATATCATTTCGTACCCATATATTTGATTATCGCTCTCTTGATGGTATTGGATACGAATTGACCTATGGGTTGTTGTGTTATCTTGTTGTTGTTGATCTCCTAGTTAGTATTTCTTTTCTTCTTCTTGTGAAAAAATTTCTCATCCTCATCAACTACTGGACCAATTGATTTGCAATTTTTAGTTGTTAAAGATTGTATATTTTGCTAGAAGGCTATTGCTTTAATTTATTCCTAAAATTTCTACGAATCCTACGAGATCTGATATTTCACTCAAAATTTCGCGAAACGAATTCGGCCCTCACCCTATCTGAAAAGTGTGTATTTTGCCAGGTAGTACATAATGTTTGGCAACCGTTGCTCTAGGAAAATTTGGCTTCTGATTTTGCTGTTAGACCACAGATTACGTCTGTATAGCTCACACCTAGATATATTCAATCAATGTATTCATTTCAAATCTTACTATGATCACAAATTTATTCTTGTTTATATATATTTCAATTAGGTCGTTAAATTAGGTCTATTAGCATACTGCTAAAAAGAAGAATATTAATTGAATGGGCATCAATTATATTGTAGGTTAAGGCCGCGTTATTCAGAACTTTGAAATGAGTGAATAATCATTAACAAAAATAGGCTAATTACTGACTTATTATAGTTCCACTTCTCGATATACAATATATATACGCAATTTAAATAAAATGGGATAAATAGTCAATAATGACTTTTTCTAAAGTTTTTAAACACGCAAGAGAAGTGAAAATACTTTTAGGTATTCAAATAATGCTTTGAAACATATCTTCTTTGTGAATGATGTCATGATGAGCAAGATCTCGATTACACGTTGCTGTTAAATTAATTCAGCACGAGTTTTTTTTAATATGGGAAGAATTTTTTTTTTTCAAGTTTATTCGAGCACACAGTTTCACTGATCAGTTTTTGGGTGGAAATGAAAACTTAAAAAAAAAACATGGTTTAAATCTATTTTTGTTTTCTTTTCTCTTCCGGTTACAAACATTGACGTAAAATCTTCACCAAATTTGTTTCAATCAGTAATAAGCAATTAAAGGGGGACTCGGTATACGCCCTTTGCATTTCTCTTGACAATTGACGCACCACCTTCCAGCTTTTTTCTCTGTACAAAAAAGTTGTAAATTCTACACTTCTGGTTTACATTGACAATGAATAATCACCGATGAATTGAATCTATAAATTAAACGTATTGGTTTCGATTTTTTTCGTCGTTGGGACGTTATTGACACCTTGAATAAAACAAGTAGAAAAAACAACGGATAACAACGATTTATTTTAACCGTTAACTGACACCTCAGAATCAGATACAAATCATTTTTATACTGTACAATTTCTGCAAAAATGATTACGTCATTGCAAATTTATCTCCTGTGGCGTTTGATTCAAAAGAATATCACTAACTATGTGGGTAAGGTCTCAATAAATATGAAAAATAATTGAAGTACCAAGATTGCTGATTATGAAAATTTACAATGATAAATTCAGAATCAGTTTGCAAAATCGTATATTCAATGTCATCCAACAAGTGCGCAGATAATGCCGTTTTTTATTATGATACCTCGAAGTAGAATTTGTACATCGAACATTGAAAATTTGTCACATAAATGACGTTTGATAACGAAATCGGGTTTTCTAAAAAACTTTCACATGTCCGAACAACGCTGTATATTTCTTGCAGCAGAGCAATCATGTACTATCTCGATTCGCGAATAATTTTGAGCGATACCGGGATAAGAACCAAAGTTACCCTAGCAGACATCTCTCAGCAGACATCTCTCTCGTTTTTGAACGCGCCGATCACTGTTGCCAGAACTCAGATTTCAATTGAGCGATGCGAGAGTCTACGAAAAAGGCATCGATGCAAAATCAGCTGATGCTTTATGTGTTGCCAGATTAACCATAAAAACTGTGAATAATTGCCGAAAAATCACAGTTCTCCCCCAAATATAAGTGTCTCACAAATATATCCGCTTAGTATAAGAAATATAAGTATAAGTGCTTATAATGGGAAGTAAACACAACTAGTTTGACAAAGATTGGATAGGTGGAAGAGTTACTTATTATCGTTTAAACCTGTCCCAGTCGTCAATTTTTGATAAAATTGGTAAAAAGACCTACTTTGCCCCAAAAAGATGTGTCTTACAATCATGACCCTTTCCATTTATACATAAACAGTAGTAGTACATTTAATAAAGTGTTCATACAACGAGTTTCAAAAAGTTTGTATGGGGGGAAGATATTTTTATTCTCGTTTAAACATGACCCGCTTGACAATTTATGATAGAAATGGCAAAAAGACCTCTTTTGCTCCAAAAAATGAGTGTCTTGCAATTACGGGCCCCACATTTACAAAAGACCAGTAGTAGTACATATAATATAATGTTAATACAGCGAGTTTGAAAAAGTTTGTATGGGGGGAAAATATTTTTATAATGGCTTAAACATGGCCCGATAATCACTTTTTGATAGAAATGGCAAAATGACCTATTTTGCCCCAAAAAATGAGTGTCTTGCAGTTATGGGCCCCTCATTTACACATGACCAGTAGTAGTACATATAATAAAGTGTTAATACAGCGAGTTTGAAAAAGTTTGTATGGGGGGATAATATTTTTATAATCGTATAAACATGGCCCGATAGTAAATTTTTGATAAAAAAAAATGGCAAAAAGACCTACTTTGCCCCAAAAAAAGAGTGTCTTGCAGTTATGGGCCCCACATTTACAAAACACCAGTAGTAGTACATATATTAAAGTGTTAATACAGCGAGTTTGAAAAAGTTTGTATGGGGGGAAGATATTTTTATTATCGCATAAATATGGTCCGATAGTCAATTTATAAGAAAAATGGCAAAAAGACCTCTTTTGCCCCAAAAAATGAGTGCCTTGCAGTTATAGGCCCCACATTTACAAAACACCAGTAGTAGTACATATAATAAAGTGTTAATACAGCGAGTTTGAAAAAGTTTGTATGGGGGGAAGATATTTTTATAATCGCTTAAACATGGCCCGATAGTCAATTTTTGATAAAAAATGGCAAAAAGACCTAGTTTCCCCATAAAATGAGTGTCTTGCAATTACGGGCCCCTCATTTACACAAGACCAGTAGTAGTACATATAATAAAGTGCTAATACAGCGAGTTTGAAAAAGTTTGTATGGGGGGATAATATTTTTATAATGGCCCAACATAATTTTTGATAGAAATGGCAAAAAGACCTCTTTTGCCCCAAAAAATGAGTGTCTTGCAGTTATGGGCCCCTCATTTACACAAGACCAGTAGTAGTACATATAATAAAGTGCTAATACAGCGAGTTTGAAAAAGTTTGTATGGGGGGAAGATATTTTTATAATCGCTTAAACATGGCCCGATAGTCCATTTTTCGATAAAAAATGGCAAAAAGACCTAGTTTCCCCATAAAATGAGTGTCTTGCAATTACGGGCCCCTCATTTACACAAGACCAGTAGTAGTACATA